GGTTGGATTTCTTGTGCGCCATGCATTGGGGCGTCGCTTTCTGCCATGGCTTCTGGATTGCAAATATTTTCTTTGTATGCGGTTGCTGGGCAGCCTGAGCAAAGTGGCTGGGGTGCAGCAAAATCTGTGCGTAATTGATTCTGGTGGCGCGCATGCGCATATATATCAACGTTGAAGCGTTCTTGTTCATCGTTGTTACATGGCTGCTCTGATTGCTGTGGTTTAGTAGATGCAAGACTTGTTCTCATGCTTGATTCTATCAGCAAGTTTGCAGCTCCGAGGTGCAGTCGACCGACAACAAACGCTTGCCTTTTTTTCAAGTGGCCATGCGTTCATGCAAGGTTTTTACGTTGCACTGGCATCAGGAACTGTGCTGTCTCCCGGCTTGCGTCGTTCAAAGTGACAGTGCTGGACACGAGCTCGGGCGGTATCCTGTGGACCGGCAGATTCATTTGCACACTTGTGGTGCTGCGAGGTTCATTCATCTGCGATGCTTTCGCAGTGGCAAACAGTATCCAAAGACAAGACCCACGTGGCCATCGGATCTCGTGAGCCGACAGCGTTGATCAAGTAGACCGGGACTTTCATGAGCACGTCGACCAGCAGCGATTCCACTCTTCTTCGGGACTGTTGGCAATTGGGCTTGAGGTCCTCCAGATAGCGGACGTAGTTGGCTTTGTCACCTTCAGCAGCTGTGACGCGCTCACCCTGGATCATTTGCTGATCGAATCGCGATCGAAACGTGTAGATGCCGCCGAAGGTGGTGATCATGTACTTGATCTCTTCTGTCTCCTCTGTTTCGCTAGAGTTGCGTTGTCGCTCAAGCTGACAAATGATGTGTCGTCTGCCCCTTGGCGGCGGTGCTGCAAAAGGGGTTGGGGGCTGAATCAAAGCGGGTTCACATGTGACCCAAGGCGTTGGCGGCTCAAAGTTCAACTTCTGCTGGCACCATAGAAACAGGGGCGGCATTGCCGACAGGTTCCGGTGCCGGAGAATGTCGACGATCAGCTCCAATGCCTTTTGCGGTGTTTCCCCTGCGCAGTAGATGGCAGCTTGCCATGGCAATATGCCGACGTTGTCTGGATCTCGTTCTCCAGTCATTGGGGGCCCTCCGTTGAGCACTCGAATGCCCCAGTTGTCTTCCATGTCTTGTGGCGTCTTCACCGTCGAGTCAGGCTGCTGTTCTAAGTAAGTTTTGAGTGCGGTGAGGAGCTGGCGTGTCAGCATTCGGTGGTCACGCCCGGTGAACTGAAGTTGCCATAGCGGCACGTCAGCACCAGTGCCTGGCCACGGGGCTTTAGCGGGGGGGTTGCCAACGTTGGCACCCTGGGTCGTTGAGAGCGCCAAAATGTCGGATTGAGTGGGTCGATTGAAAAAATGAGTGGGTCGATTGAAAAACATCGGCCCGAAAACGTTTCAGGAGAACTTGTAAGGAGCTCGGTCTCATATATTCCTAGCTCTATGAGGCCTGACGAGCAACATTAGGTTGAGGCAACTTTTTTACCTTTGGTGTGTAGCAGACCCGTCAGGCCTTCAAAGGCATATGCGCTGGCACCCCACTGGCGAAGACATGCCACTATGCCATCCATTTGGGCACTGCTGCTGAAACGCAAGCTCTTCGTTGAGTCCTTTTCGCGGTCGGCAAAGGTTGGTCGCCTTTTTCCCGGCATGATACAGGCGGTGCTGTGGGTGGAGGAGGGGCTCACCGATGGTTTCGATTGAACCCAGCGGGCTTGCTTGAGCTTTGAAAGGCTGAGAACTTGAGCTTATTGAGAGAATGTAAAGGGGAAATGACGACTGACAACCGAAAAAGCAAAGGCACGGATCAATACAAGCACAGCTGCTGTGAAAAGCGCAACCATTAACTGTCAGCGTGGCGCAATAGAAACGGAAGCGTTGACCAACTACGGGCTAAGTCTTATAAGTTTCCATTCCAAAAGCAACAACAACAACAACAACAACAACAACATCAATCGCTGAAAGCTGCCGTGAAGTGCTTCCTTTTTTTTGCTGGACTGGGATACCGCGCTCCAAGGAACCTAAGGTTGATGATCATCTCACTTGAAAAAGGTCTTGAAGGGCTCCTGTGCAATTTGCCGCTCGATTTCCACTAGGGCGTCTTCCATTGCTTGCAGCCAGGCGTTGATGAACTTCTGAACTTCACTGGCTTTCTGGCCGGTCTGTAATGCAAGGGCGTGCTGGCAACCTTTCCATGTTCTGTATCGGCGTCCAGCTGCAGGCATTCGCCAAGGGAAAGGTCTACCTCTTTCTGCTGCCGCCCTGATCGGCCCCGCGATTCTCATTCGGCGTGCGCCAGCGAATGCTTGGAGCATGATGGGAGCCAAGCGTCGAACATCGGCTTTTCCAAAGCATTGCTGGCGGTTCTTGATGCGATAGGACGGCACGATTTGGAGGCGTAACTCTGGAAGAGGAAGGTCTTGCGCAAACTGGTGGAATTCTTTGCGCCACCGCCTCCAGCCAGCTGGTCGCTCCCCGACGTGAAAGCCTCGAAGATTGACCAGCAAAGGCCGCGTGGCCACCAGGAGCAAGTCCAACTCATCGACCTGCTCTGTGCTGAAGATGGGCTCCTCGAGCGCTAACGAAGTCAAGGGGATGTATGAGTGTTCTGCTTGCGCTTCCCTCGCGGTCGGGGACAAGTACTGGTACAGTGGCATGGAAAGTCCATTCATCACGGACAGTCCGAGCAAGCAAGTGTCCTAAGACTTTGCAACCTCTTCGGGATTGAAATTCCAGGGCAAAGCAACATCCAGGATTCCCAGCTCGGCGCCAGATGTTGCCAAGTGAAAGCGCAGAGTCAACCTCTGCGGTGGCGAGAATGTAAGAGGAGCGGCGGAGGCTGAAAAAGGAGGTGCTTCTGACATCAAAAGCACCAGTTGGCAAGGCACAGCGCGCACAGGAATCATTGCATACATCGTAACGGGCAAGTTCATGTCGACGATTGACTAATAATGTCCAAAAAGCTTGGGCACTCACGGCTGGTGGATGCAAAACAGATTCTTGTTTATGCTCACTCCGGACGTGAGTTAGCAAGCTTGGTCGTTGCTGGGGGACCTGATTTTGCCACTGTCATGAAACCAAGCATCATGAGGTAGGCAAGGAAAAGTTAGGAGTAATTATGCTAGATGTGACCTTGGGCTTTTGCAAGAAAAGCCATCGAGACGAACGATGTCAAGCGCTTCCTACAGGCAGGCATTGCTTCAGCTTCAGAGTCATAAAACGGAGAAAGAATACTTTAAGATTTCAGCAGCTGCTTTCCTTTTCTTGCTTTAACTTTACTCTTGCTGCTTTTCAGTCTGCCGATTTTATGTGCTGCACGGGCGCTTTTTTTAGATCATGCATATTGGTTTGTGCATCCATGCAGTTGATGGTGAAACGCCCACGCATGGCACTCACTGTCCAAACGGTGCTGCGTGGTTCTGGTCATGTAGTCACTCATTGTCTACGAGAACTTCCCCGTAGATGACGGTTTTCTGTGCCAACAACCATTTTGCCATTGGGTCTTCTGCGCCCACACGGTCGATGAAATACACTGGCACTTTTGCAAGGACATCGTCGAGAAGGCTTTGCAGTCTGCCAGTTGAGCCTGGATCGTCCACGCTCAAGCCTTCGAGGTAGCGGACATAATTGACCTTGCCCTTCACTTCTGTGTCAACGCGTTCCCCAGCAATCTGTTGCTGGTCGAACCGTTCACGGAACGCAAAGATGCCACCAAAAATGGTGAGCAAGTACTTTGGGTGAATCGATCCATCTTCGCCCTCATCCTGGCTTTCGCCCTCGCCTTCAATTGGATGGTGGTTCTTCTCGAGCTCGAGCTGGCAGAGGACATGCCTGCGACCACGAGGGGGTGGCACTGCAAAGGGATTGGGCGGCTGAATTGCAGTAGGAGCACATGGGGCCCATGGAAGAGGCAACTCGAGGTCGAGCATCTCATGCATGAAGACCAAAAGCGGCGGCATCTGCAAAAGTTGTCTGCGTTGGATCTGCCACTCAAGCACTTGCCTGATGAAATCCAAAGCTGGCTCTGGGGTGCTACCTGCACAATAGATCGCCGCCCGCCAAGGCACAATGCCAATCTCATCTGGGTCGGGGTCAGATTCCAAAGGGGGCATCCCCGAAATCAATCGAATGCAGTGGTTGTTCTCCAGGTCCTGGGTGGTGCACATTGTTGCGTCTGCTTGCTCCTTCAAGTATTCGCGGATGGTGGGCAGCATCTTGAAAGTCAGCCATCGATGGTCTTGACCAGTAAATTGCAGCTGCCAGAGAGGGAGTGTCGCTGTTGCGCCCTTACCACCTGGCAGCAACAGCAACATGTCAAATCCGTTTAGTTGAGTGCGTTGGGGGGGGGGGGCAAACTTCACGAGCAAATGCAGCAAATCTGCCCCTTGTATATAGCATAACTTCTAAAGCTTGAGTTTGCTTTTCTCGTTAATTGCATATGTGTGTATTTGCATGCGTTGTTTGCTGTCGGCCTTCGAACCCATAGAAGCCGCTGCCCCAGCGGCGAACGCACACCACAATGCCCATTGGGCCAGCGTCTGCTCGTATGACCTTGGTGGGGTTCCGCTGATGATCTGCAAAGGACGGGCGCTTCTTTGGAGGCATGGCTGGGCGTCAGCACAAATGGGTCGGCTTAGGGCGCCGCTGCTTTTGGTGCTAGACGCTGCGAGTTTCAGATATGAACTGAGGTTTCTGTCTTTGATGTCAAGTTCTTCTCAGCCACAGATATAGTTCTTAACATGTAGAGTGCGGCTGTGACGCAACAACGCTGTAATGTCAACAACGCTATAAAACATGTGTTGCTTTACATCCCGAGGTATTGCAATGTACAATATGCCGCCTGAATGATTGCGTCTAGGAACTTATGAACTGCATCATGCAGAGAATTTGGCCCGCGTGTGGTCGCGCACCTTTCATTGTACACGATTGCGCCGGCACAGGTGCTTGTGTGCTGTGAGCTTTGCTCTGCAGGCAGGCTTCACTCACTTCTGTTTGGAGGTCTTGGGCAGCGCTGTCTTGACTGTGGGCGCCTTCCGGGTAGTCTTTGATGTGTCGGTCTGCAAACCGGTGCTTGCTAATTTCACCCACGTAACGGCTCCGCGCGGGTGCGCGTAGGGTATGGGATACACATACTTGATGGGCTTGCTCATGACGTAGGCCCAGACTTGGTGGTAGGGAACTTCGTTGAAGTTGTTCACGCGGTGCCGGTCTACATTCTGGGGCAATCCGAGAAAGTTCTCTGGGTGAAGTTGCGGTGGGACCAGTGCCTCACCTGGGCCGCGATGCCCCACAGGCTTGCAGTCTATCAGCACGCATTCACCAATGAGGGCGCCAGTTCCACTTTCTGCAATTGCCACGCGGCCTCTGTGACCAGTTCGCTTGCCACGTAACTCCCAAACCTTTTCGCCACTCACCAGCATGGCAGCCCAAGGCTTCTTGACAACTATTGCCTTGAAGGGAAGGGGGATGTCATCCGCGGAGCTCATCTCCCAGCAGTTGGTGTCAGGCACTGGCTAGGCAAATGCTACTATATAAGCAGTTGAGCCAACATCGCTTTGGTCACACGAAGTTGCAAGCTGGCACAGTCGCATTTTACTTTTGAAGTCGCTTAGCATATTGCTACCATCACTATTCTTTCCTGCGTTGTCACCATTTGGAGAACTTGCTTCCACTGTTATATGAATGAATGTCGCCTTGACTTGATTAGGGCACCTTTAATCTCCTTGGTTTGACAATTTGCTTGAGTAGGGTGTCTGGATACGGGCGCTTTGACATTTGTGGCCTGAAGATGGTCCGCTTCAACTGGCGGCAAGTGTGGCTAGCAAACTACCCGTTGAAGATGCCCATAATTCGTGGCAGTGATCCCGTCCTATTTTAAACCATGGGCCGCGACAATCCTAGCCGTGAAGGCCTTGTCAACTGATTCGTTGACGCTTTACGCCACGCTCAGGTGCTGGCACCGTGCGCTGGTCCTCGTTGATCATCAGCGCGGCCAGCCGCTCCTCCAGGGTCGGCTCGGAGAAGGCGTAAGCTGCAGAGCGGAGCACCCTAGCGCAGTCGGACCGCGCTTGCCGGATGCTGTTCCAGTCGCGCTGTGCCAGGCCCGCATCCAGCCGCGCGAGGAACTGGTTCAAGGCAAGGAGCAAAGCAGCGCGCTTTGCAGGTTCCATTCCTCCGGACATGAGCAGCAAAGGAAAACACCAGGGCGTGTATGTAGACCGGATCTTAGTGATCCTCTGTGCCTCACATATTTGGCAATTCCCCGAAATGATCGATATGTAGGCAGTCCTGGAGCTTGCTTCTGTGACGTGTTTGTCGTCAATCGTCCTGGAGTGAGACAACCACAACAAGCAGTCAGAGACCAAAGGATACAAAACGCATCGGGTTTCAGGTTGGATTTGCTAACCGTCCTCGACACCAAAAGCCCGGCGCCAGCAGGAAGCCGAAGCAGAGCTGAGAGCCATACATACACACCATAAGAACCAAGCGATCAGGCCCCACTAGCTACTGCACGTGTGCATGTTGTCTTGGGCTGATAGATGCAACTCACACAAAAGCAGAGGCCGAATCGAACAAGACAATAGCATTTTGAACACTTATTGTGACTTATACAATAAGTGTTTCCATCGCAGCATCTCTCGGGCTTGTTTATAGCTCGATTCTTGGTCTGCATGGTGAGACGGCGAGATACAAAGCCAAAACTTTGATAGAAACGGTGCCGCAGGCTCCCACATGGAGCTACATCTCCTACAGGCCTAATGGTCGAACATCCGATCTTGACAAGTTTTCTTTTGCGGCTCTTTTTTTAAATTCTCTTCTTCTCCATCGTTCTTGTCCTCTTTCGATACCTGGCCTCTCTCAGTGCTCAGACGCAGGGCTCATAGAGCTCACGTTGAGGCCTGCCAGCTAGATGATATACCTTGGGCGCCGTGGTGGGTCAGAGGCATGGCAATTGATTTCGTCAGCTTACATCGCCAATGCTATGCAACTCAAAGGGTCATATTCCAGAGCGGGCTCGCTGAGCTCCAAGGATGGATCAGCGCAGGTGCCAGGCATTGAGCCCAATAGGCGTGAAGCCTTAGATACGGATTTGTTGGCAAATGCGTTTCAGCACCGCATAGCTGCAAGCAGAACTCTTGCACTTGCTTTTTACACTGCACGCGGGGACGCAACAGGGCCGAGTTGCAAGGAACCAGGAGGTACAGAGGTCAATCTTGGCCACGCGGCTGCCTCAGGCGCATTTTTCGGCATGGTCGTTCTAGGGGGCTACGCCCTTTAACTTTCATGCAGGTGTTGTGCATGCAGACTTGTATAGGGCAGGTTGGGCTGCGTGAAAAAGTATCTGAGCGGCTGGCTTGCGCGCTGGCGTTGGGATCGATCGTGTCCTGACAGAGAAATCCGGGATGACAATCACTTCAACCTATCGTGGTTTTCGCGCGTATGTGCGTGTGATCAATGATTGTCTTGTCGACTGGTTGGTCCGCATTTGGATACACAACTAAATGGAAGCAGGCGGCTGTAAACGAAGGGATGTGTGGGAGGCAGCCGCTGGAAGCAGAAGGAGTAAACCTGAGGCCGGGGCCGCGGCGTTTTGTCTAAGGTACATAACCCGATTAATGACAAAAAAGGGAAACAGAAACAAGTAGAAGCCTTCAGAGGAAAGTGCCAATTTCCGTTGAAGGTTTCAATAACGTTAATAAGGCCAAGTTGCCGATGGCTCTCAACAACCCGCCAAACTCTTGCTCACTTGCCAAGGGTGGCGTGAAAGGACTTGGTTCTGAAGAGCTGATCGCCGCCGATATCCGAGCACAATATCAGCTTTGCACGCTGTGTGTAGTAGGATCGCGGGCGTGAATGAAATCATCACGCCGCGGGATTGTCGCATTGACATCCAAAAAGGCGTGCTAAGCATCGAGGGCTGACGAAACATTGGTCGAAGCCATGGGCGCGAAGTGGGCGCCATGCGCACGGCGCGAGCGAACCGCTTATCGGCAGCCTCACTTTAGGCAGAGTTCAGCAGGTCGTCGAGAGACTTATCCTCCCACTCTTTTGGTCTCCCTTCTTGAGACCTCTCTGGCCCAGGCCATCGGCCAACAGCTCTACAGACCAACCCCTTTCCAGCGAGCAGCTCACTAGGAAGGGTCTCTTTAGAAGTAGAGAGCCGATCCTCATTTCCACCGCTTTCCCAATTTGCCCGGTAAGGGTGTGCAGGCCCACCCTGCGGCCCAAGAGGGTGCGCGCATAAGCTTGACGGCGCCCAGCTCTCAGCTGAGCGAGGGCGCGCGTAAGCTCGCGCACCGTTGTCATGGGGAAACTGGCCCTATGCTTTTATTTCTTTTTCTTCTCCTTTCTTCTTTAAACTTTCAACTTCTCCTTCCTTTCTTTGTACCTGGCACGGCGAGCGTGGGGCGCGAGGGGTGCGAACACTTTAGGTTATAGGGGTTGGGTATGCGCAGTGGTATTCAACTTCAGCTTCTCCTTCCGTTGCTTTCTGGGGGTACCTGGCGTGGCGATCGTGAGGGACGATGGCGGTGCATACTTTGGGTGGCAGGTGGCTTTGCGGAGGTGGGGCGCAATTGCGCCGCAACTGCCGCAAGCCAGCTTGCACATGCTATGGGGCTTTAAGCCGCCCCGGGCTACTCATACAGCATCAGGCGTGACAGCCTTTCCAGTCAACAGGGGGCGCTTTGCAGAGGTCCTCCGCTCAGTGGAGCGAGGACCTCAGCAGACCTCACTGCATTTGTCATGAGGGTTTAGGCCGCCTCGGCCGATGTAGACGCCGGGTTCGTACCTGAGCGCGTGGAGGGCACAAGGCAACGAAATGGGGTTGCGACGCCGGCCTTATATCCTAACCAACTGTACCTTTCTATTCTTTTTTTGCGGGGCATCCTTTTAAGGTTCTATTTGTGGGGTACTGCGGGCATCAAAAAAAGAGAAAACTTACAGCAGGCCAAAACCCAATAGAGCAAGCGCGTCATAATACATACCATACTTAAGCAAGGCGAATTTACATATATTCATTTATAGAGTTGGTGGGTTGGCTGGCATGCTCTATGTGGTTCAGGCCCGCCTTCAATCACCATGACTACCAAGAACGTCAACCCATATTGAAGCGGAATGTTTGCACTCCTTAGCTTTGCACCTCATTCCTTGAGCGCGTCAATTCAGGGCGCTTCTCGCTCCAATCTCCTTAACGCGCGGGGGCTTGCCGGGGGCCATGGCTCCGTTGAGCTTAGGCCCTGCGTTGGCTCACCCGCTTTCGTCGGGGGGGGGCGGCGTGGCCCCAGGTTCATTCAGCCTCCGGTATAGTGACTTTCAGCCGAACTCTTGTCTGCTTTAGTTTGCCATGTTGGCAGGCCAGTGCAAATCTGAAGAGTTGATCGCCGCCGGCATCCGGGCAAGATGCCAACTTGCCTGTTTAGTCCGTCCGATCGCGCGATTTACACGGCACGGGCAGCTCCAGGAAGCGCGCTGGGGTGGAACCAGGCGCGCCGCAAGTTCTGCAAACAGGCAAAGCTTCTAGGGCTGACGAAGCGATGGTAGTAGTGACAGGATGAAGAGGGCGTCCATTTACCCGGCGCAAGCGCACCGGCTTTTGGCGACCCTACTTCGACAGAGTTCAGCTGAAAGTCAGTGGAGGCCTAGACACCACAAGAGGCGATCGCGCTGACCCTGCACTACCGACCAACAACTCTCCAGGTTGCATCCGACCAGCAGACGCTTACTCGGTCCGACCTCTAGCCCGTCAAGCCCGTAGGAAGAGAACAGCAAAGTGCAAAGGGATGAACTCCCTCTACTATCTGCAATCCGTGATACCGAGCGATATCTGAACTGCAGGCTGGTTTCCATTGGTCAGTTTAGGGCATCAAGCGAGGATCGGACCTCTACACATTTTTCCACATTCCTTTTCTACATTGCCCGGCAGTTAACCATCAACCTAGCTCATTCTTCTTCTCATCCCCACTCTTAGCTCTACAGCTTCTGTGCCACATCCTATCATCACACCCCAGCATTTCATTATAATATATTTTAACCTTGCCCGGCGGCGTGCCAACACCCCACATCAAATCAGACACCTCCAGAATCCACTTGCCACGTGCCCTTTTCTTCGTCCCTTCTTGGGTTCTGCGGCTTCGCCTGGGCTTTG